CAATCTATAGTACCAAGTACCTCCATTATGCTTTCCGGAGGCTACTGACAACAAACCACAATTCTCTATGCAATACATTGTCTTGGAGGTTGCGGGTATCAAGGACTCTTAATAGTACCGTGGCAAGGATCAATTGTTCATCTCTATAGTGCAGGAGTGTCTCCTGAGCCTTCTGTCTTTGTGTACGGTCTCACAGATGGTGAATGACATTTCTTTCTTAGGGAACCTTCCATTAGAGAGGCTACTTGTAGACAAATCCGGTGGTGGAGCATTTAGAAAACAAAGAGTGGGCAAAGTGGGCTTTTATCACGATTGATCATGTGATTGATAAGGAATCGGCCACTTCTTCCAGTACTCAATGGGAAACTTTAGGGAAGTGTTTTAATTCCTGATGTATTACTATCAAAGCTATTCTGACCTGTTTCTCTGAAGTTCTGTATATAAATCCCTATCATCTCACTGTTAGGGTAAATTTCCTAATACAAAACCTAAGAAAACATCCAAAATTCCTACAATGGAGGAATGACTACGTTTTCTTGAAGATTTATATTAAAAATAATACTTTGATATTAATGATTTCAAGTTACCTCCTGAAATTTCCAGAAGTTATGAAATCTCATGTTTTTCATGTGTCCATATTTTTAGCTCCCTATGTTGACATTTGTACAGTAGGCAGAGTTAGGCCAGAGCAGTACTTATGTAAGGGTTTCCTTGAAACAAAACTGCAGATGTTACAGATTACGCTTCTGCCCCATGAAAAACATGCCTACGTTTCAAAGCAGACCTGGTTTTGAACAACTCCTATCTACCATACCTGTGTAAAATCCTTGTGTATACACAGTTGTGAGTTTGGAGTCCAACATCACACTGGAGGTGTGAAATAAATCAGGAAGATTTAATTTTTACAGATGGTGATCTGCACTGAAGAAACAGTATGTACTTTTTTCTTACATTAACACAATCCAATGCCATCCCACAAATCCTCAGTTCCTAACCTTTCTTAGGATGTTAGGAGAAATCAAGCTGTAGTTGGGGACACGAATGGCTATGTGACATGCAAGTGCCCATTTACTATATTCTGAGTCACGCTAATATAACGTAACTGGCAACTCCAAGAGTGAGGTGAGCAATCTAACATGGCTTCACCGACATGTGGATTTGCATAGCTAGAGAAGCAGCTTTACAGAGGTAGAATTATGCCCAAATTGTAGATATTTTCTCTCTCATGCTAAGCAGAGAACATTGTGCACAATGCCTGTGCACAGAGATTTCAACCAAAACAAGACTGGAGAGCCAAGTACCTGAGTCTGGATAGTTTTCCTGAGGGCACATATTCATGAGAAATGGATTTAAAGCAGCAACTTAACTTACAGCAGGAACCAACTTAAGAGGTTCCCCACATCTTCCCTCCTCCCCTCACCTCTAATAAAGCATGTCTTCATGTCCTCTCCACAGGGCCCACCAAAGCCCAGTCACTGGCATGGCTTCAGGTAGGATCGGCCCTCTGATGGGGGTAGAGGGATGGTGTGAACACAAGGAAAAGTGTTCCTAAGCAGAAAGATTTTAAGCTAGTTCTGCCACTGACACCAGGGCTCCTTAGAGGAGCCCCACTGTGTCCTGTCCCCAGCAGTGCAGCACCCCAAGGAGCAGGCACCCTGAGGAGCAGGCACCCTGAGGAGCAGGCACCCCAAGGATCAGGCTGCGTTCGCATTGTGCTCTCTGACTGGCAGGGGGAGGCACGCTTTGCCGGTTAAGATAAGCATTTAAGCAGCTTGCAATAATCCTTTCATTCATCAAACTGCACTAAGCAGATTTGCCTGGTCTTCCAAACAAAGTCAAACATGAGGAGAAAGGAAAGTGCACCTAAAGCAACATGGGTCCTTAGCACTCCTGTGCCCTGAAAGTGCCCTGCCCTGGGATGCAGGCAGATGTGCCAGGGCCAGCAGAACAGCAGAGAAGTCCTTCTCTTCCCAACATGGGATGGGGCTGCTCCCAGCCTGGCCCAGTCAGCACATCTGTACTTGAACAGGACACTTGGGCTTAGTGAGCTTCCTTTCTCCCCTGTCACCAAGGGGTATCCAGAAGCAATGAAACTGCAGTGGGGGCTTGGCCCTCACTGCTTAGAGAACAGTAAACAGCTCTTCAGAGACTTTTGGCTTGCTGCTTTTCTACTGTACTTCATCTTAGTGAAGATCTTCAGGCAGCCAAGGTCCAACTCCTATCAAATCTCCAACCCACCTGATCTGATGCTTCCCACTACCCCACTTCCCTACTGTTTTCTCAGACACGGTCTTTCATTTGTCTTGTCCTTCTGCTTTCACTCTTCTCCTCCTCACATTGTCTTGTTTCCTCCTCACCCTCTATTATTTCCTTTACCTTTACCATGCTCTGATAAGGTGCCTAAAAAGCCCAACCTTATTCTCACTGATATTCATGAAGTAACTGATAACTTCTACCTGTATTTTTTTTCCATTGCCATTTCTTCTGCCTTCCTAGCACCCCTCACCCCACTTAGAAACATGCAAGCCAGATAACCATCACAAGACACAAACAGCAATACAGCTGGCAGACACCACTGAAAGGGCAATCAGCTCCTGCTGCCAAAGTCTTACATATGCTGCAGAGCATTGTATAGCTGCCCTAAACTGGCTACAGCCAGGGAATAGGACAATAAAGGTTTGGTCAGGCATATGAAGACTACCATTCCTTCCCTTGACTCAGTAAGATGTCGTTCCAACTTTTCTTCTGTGCAGCTCTGAGTTCTCTCTTCCTCCTAATACTGCCATAAGCATGGTGGCCACCACTTTCTGACACTGGGACATACTGCTTTTTGTGGCAGCCACGCTCTGCAGGACTATATGGTGATTCTCTCCTAATCAATGTCTGGACATACACTGCTGAATGGTTTTATCTGAGCAAATATACCTTTCCCTGAAATGCAAACCAGACTTGCCATCATCAAACAACCATAGAAAGGTCATTATTTTGAGTAATGTGAAAGATTTCTATCTAGTGTAATGGGGAAGGAACAGCTCAAGAGGCTTCAGGAACAGCCCATCACTCCCTAGGCCAGAGGAGTTAGAAGGGCAGAAATAGCAACATGGGGCCTGACCCTCCCAAACCTGATCTTCCCCTAGACACCTCTGGACTTTGTGATGATCTAAATAGTTGCTAACAGTGCTATACTGCCTTTGTATCCCATTTGTTTTCTCAGTGTTTTTATCACAAAGCACACATCCTGTTTGAATCCGTGTCATCCTCTTTCAATATTTGCTGCTGATTTTTTTTCTCACTTTCCTTGGGATTGCAGCAACAGGCTAGTTAAAATTTGCCAGGACCTCTAACACCAAAGATTCTTGTTGAATTATGCATTCTCAGTTATGCATTCTTGTATCAGGTCATTAGTTATCTGCCAAAGCATTCATAGCCTAAACAGGGTGAACCTGCTCATCAAGTATGGTAGCTCCATGATGTATTAAAATCTTTTTTTATTTTTTCCTCTTCAGATGTGCCTTGGAAAAAAACAAACAAACAAAAAAATCAAACACACAAACAAAAAAGATGGCTGTATATAAAAAAGATTTCTTTTCCTATTTTCCATGTATTTCTTCCAAGTATGTGAAATTGTTATTCTAAAACACAAATAAAGGATGACATTAAAAAAAAAAACAAAACCTACACTCTAACAACAAAAAAAGCCACATTGCATTCTATCACCCTACAAACAAATGAAAAAATGTCAGATTAGGATCTATCACACTTAGCATATATTTTAACAAGTGGATTTCAATGTCCAGAGGCAGTGAAATTCCTCTATTGCTGATATCCCAGGGGCCAGAGCTGTAGCTTTCCTTCTAGGACATTAATGGAAGATTCCTAACCAGGCTGAGTTTACTAAAACAATAACAACTCAAGGTCACACATCTTAGGATGAGATATGTTCAATAGGATCACTGAAAAGGGCACATATGCTGCACACAGACATACTTATAGATGTCAATCATATGTGTTCTTACTTTTTGAAACCTGAAGTGTAATGGGAGTATATTTATGTTAAAAGGCATTAAAAAAATCAAGAAATCAATTTCTAGTAAGAAGCCTTCATATTAGCAAGAGCAAATGTCTTATCTGTTCTATCCAGCACTTTTGGTCATTCCCCCACCCCTTCCTCCCTTTTTAAAATTTATTTATTTATTTATTTATTATTTTGGTTACAGGCATTGTGGTAAATTACAGCAGGGGCTTTGTATCAGTTATCAATGAAGAGCAACCAAGGACATCTGTGCTCATGGAAAGACACAATCAGGGAGAAAAACAAAAACAAAACCAAAAAAACTCAGTCATGAAGTGAATTTCATTAAGACTACAGAAAGCTCCAGTTAGTTCCTCCTGGTGTCTTTGCCTTTTTTTTTTTTTTTTCCTATTGGGATTTCCTGTATCAGTAAGAAACCAGCTGAGCCTCTGGTGTCCCAAAGAATTTGTCCTATTCCTTTAGTAAAACATGCCGTGACTGGAGGAAGCACAAAAGTTCAAGTGTTGTGCCTGGAGCACTATTTCATAAGAGCAAAAGTCTTCAGACATGGAGAAGCTGGTCTGTCAGTTATGTACTGACCCCAGAAACTCCCAGTGACTGACAAACATCAGGAAGCCTATTCATGGAGAGCTTGTTGAAGGCTTTATCCCTCAAAACTGTTTTTCTTCAGAAGAAACCTGCACTGTCCAGAACAGACCAGGACAGAGAAGACAGTTTTCTTCACTTGCTTTTAGCCAAAAGATCATAAACTGAAATTATCAGAATAAATGATAAGGATTAGCAGGCAGAATGGCAGTTTGACTCTTGAATAAAAGATGATAATTTGATCTCCAAGTTTAGTAAAACAAGGATTTTCCCAAAAACAATAAAAATCCTGTGTATATACACATACACACCATCACCTTTCCAGTCTTGTAACTAAAAATTCTATATAATAATGTCACAATAATGTAAAAAGAAACCATTATCACATTTTTTTAATTAAACTTTATTTTCTACTTTGTTAGAAAGATACAACTATTGAAAGTTAATGTGTTGTTATTATCTTTAGTACAGTGGATGCACATATTTCAAAATATTTCTTAAAAGCTATCAAAGCATCTGTATAACCAAATGAATCCAATGTACAGCAAAATATAGAGGAAAGCATAATATTAATTTCACTTCAGGCTTCACTTCAGAGGACAGGACTTCAGGCATGTGATTTGTTATTTTGTTATTGCAAGTTTAGGCTTTTAAATCAGGTAATACAAAACGTGTATTTTATGCATCCCTGGTAATCTGCAAGCATGAAAATATATAACATTCTTAGATGTGTTTTTTTTTTCTCTTCATTGTACTTACATCAGCATGCCTTTCTAAATACACATATATTTACACACAAGCGAATTAAGAATCAAAATGGTCAGGTACAAAAGAGAAGGAAATAGTAATGTCAGAGCATGGATTCTAGTGTGACAAGTATTTAATTGAGAAATAAGATAATGGGATAACAAAAACTTCCTCTGTTAAAGGATGTTATCTTTGTACCACTGTTCTAAGGAAAGGACTACCAACCAGAGTCTTCCATTAGTCTTCCATTACCCCATCTGTAGTTATCATTTGAAACCAACCACTTACATAAAACAAATCCAAAGCTCTGATGATTCACTGGAATTAGAATTATTTGTTTTGTTCTTCTGTTTAATCTGTTTGGCTTCTTGCATCATGTCTGTCATGATACAATCTCAGTATCCTCTAATATCATTTTTTCATTCCAAGGGAACCTCTCCCCTCTATTCACGCCCCTGCACCTGGGGGAAGGATCCCAGTTTTGTGTGGGTGTTGAGTAGTAAATATCATAGTGAGGAGGCTGGTTTTAAAGCTTTTGTTGAATTCACCATTCATCAAGAGGCCTCAACCTATCTCAAGAGACTCATGTTCTACTTCTCATGTTTTTACATCTGAAATATAAAAAGCAATAAGCATATAGCAGCAGCACCTAATTGTTATACCTGCTTTCCACCAGGCCCTTGAATATGGGCAGGATATGAAGGGAACAGTTACTAAATATTACTGAGGAAATAAGAGGTATAACAGGCCATAAGTATCTCAACATAAATATAATTATTTTTTTAAGACACTGTTAATGAAGGAGTAAATTCTAATCAGTGTAACTGGTGTAGCAGACAGTAAGGTTTTAATCAAGCAATACAGGCATCTGTCTTTCTTCTAAAGAGCGTGTATGTCTTAGATCTTTTCCCATATATGTGCTAATTATAATCTTCAAAGTTTTAAGTAGGTACAAAGTTGTGTCGATTTGTTCGTTACTTGAAATAACAAAAGGGCTTCAACTCCAAGGAGAAAGTCTGCACAAAAGGAAATTCAGCAATGCAGGAGGAAATTCCACGTATACCTAAGCGCCTGTAACAAATAAATAACTTCATTACAGAGGGGTAGAAAAGGGGTAGAAAAGGAACTCAGGGAGACCTGCCTAGGATATTCTGATCAGCTACTAGAGCCCAAGCTAAAGTGGGGATAGATGCCCTACACTGACAAATGCCAAAAGAGGGAGAGCTGTTAGCTTAGTAGAGTGTTACATGAGTTTCTAATGTTGGTTACGGAGGTATATATACAATAATCTAGCAACCACATCACCAGGCATGTAAATGCAAACTCTGCCCTTGGTAAGTCAAAAGGAATTGAACAAACAGGAATAGGAAGATATATTCAGCAGGACAAGGACCTGGCAGAGGTCAGCACACTGAAATGTTCAAGGGGGAAACTTTTATTGTTCTGGGGAGTGCCAAAGAAGACAGTAAATATTGGTATCAAACACGTTGATCAGAAGGTTATCCAAATACTTCCCTCTCCTGCAAGCTTCCACCTTGTCTTGGCTGCCTTGGAGAAGGTGCCCTGGGGACGGTGGCAGCCAGCACTCACAGGACTGAGGCTCGGCAGAGCCCCATCCTGCTCCATCCATCCCCTGCCCCTACGCAGCTGCTGCCAGGGCCAGAGAGCCCAGGGCTGGGGCATTGTGCCACAATGGCTCCATTGTAGTGAAATCAATAGGGATGCTCGAAAATACCTTTACATGTCAATCCTGGTGTCAGAAGGGAGCGGGTCAAAGAGGGCTGACCCTCAGAGCAAGTTAAACTCCTGAGGGTGGAGATAATCTCCCAGCAGGAAGGGAGGAAAGTGCTGGGCCCGCCTGGGCCAGGATCCTTTCACACTCCCTGCCGTCAGCTTTAGGCTACGGAGCCGGCCATTATCAGAGTCATTGTCATTATTATCTCTAAATCTACTGCCTACCATTCAGGCATCTATCAGGAAAAGACCCGAGACCCTATTAGTGCAGGCAATAAGCCCTGAGAAGGAGGGGAGGAAGGTAGTTCAGAGATAAAGTAACGCTCCTGCGGGCCACTCCATGTATTTTGGGGGACGTTTATGGATAAATCAGATTTTAGCACCCTTTCCCATCGAGTCTCCCATTGCACATCTCACCCGGCTGGGCGGTCCTGGAGGTACCAGTGTCGCTCCCTCCCAAAACGATGCTTCCAGAGACCGAGGTACCTAAATCATACAAATAAATAAATAAATAAATAAATAAATAAAAAAAAAGATCCTTTCCCCAGAGAAGGTTGAGCGGCAAATGCGCGGCAGAGAAAAGCAGTGATTGGAAATGACATGTATTTTACTGATTAAAAAAATTAAAAATGTTAGCAATGACGTGAATATAAGTCCCGTCGCGAATTCCTCAAGATGATTCAGAGATGTTTTGCCCTGGTCTAGATGTCCAGCCACAAAGGACCATATCTGACAGGTTTTCCTTGGTAATTTTAAGCGAATTGAGTATTTTAACAGCAATTGTGTGGACAATAAAATAAAATAAAATAAAATAAAATAAAATAAAATAAAATAAAATAAAATAAAATAAAATAAAAATAATAAAATAGGTATACTTTCCCCCCATCTTAGCTATTCCTTTTGGAAAAGTAAGCATTTTATCGTAATAAAATATTTAAAGATCCGGGTAGGAAAAAACACACACACACATTAAAATATATATATATAATATAGGTATATTGCTATCCAACAGACGTGAAAGCTCGCAACAATCCTACAGTTGTTTAAGAAAAAAAAAAAAAAAAAAAAAAAAAAAAAAAAAAAAAAAAGAGAGAACAAAAAAAAAAAAAGTAGAAGACGACTGTCTAATTTATATGCAGCTTTCAGTAAAATAGACCAAACTCATGATCTTGCGTGTGAAGAGCACGGTCTTTAAGGTGATGAATAGCACTGAAAGACCTGTTGGCCCCTTCGGAGGTAGTTAACCGAGCTGACTGCTTCTCGAGATTTGACAGCTTTTAAACTGCCGTGTTTAGCAAGGCAAAAATGGATTGAATTTGTAAAGTCTTGGCCCTTTTTCTCCAGACATACATTATTCCACCTAAATCATGTCACTTTTAAAAATTATTATTATTTAGCTTTACTTTATTTTTTTGTTTTGATTCCAAACCCTGTAGGTGACATCGAAGAGAAAAGAGAGCAGTGAAGATGCCGATGCTGAATTCAAATAAGTATGCCCAGTCCCCTGCAAGGCGAAAGGTGGGAGGCAGCAGCCTCCCATGAGAATGGTTACAATAGCAGGTTAAAAGTTCTTTTTTTAAGGGCCCCCGGGAATTGACATGTATATAAGCAACGTGTAATGCTTCTGGATAACGCTGAATTGCCAGCCGAGGAAGGGACAAGGGATGTTGTCTTGCTCTCCAGGAGAGGCAGACAACTGCTTCTTTTTGGACTTTGCAAGTTAAACTTCACAGGAGTTTCTAATCTCTATAATAGTTTCCCTTTGGTCTTCAACTATTTATGAGGTTGACCCTTTGATTACTCTTGCAAGTAGAAATCTTTGAAAATATGACTTGAAAAATTGACAAATACAGACCTGCATAGTCCAGATCTATTGATCCTCAGTACCAATACAGTAACACTATGAAGTGGAATAGCTCAGCAAAAGCAAATACTACAATATATTCCCAGAGCAGCTCCTTCAGAGGACTTGCACCTTCAGCTGGGCACCTCTCTCATTGTTACAGAAGGGTCTTGGAAATGCAAAAAAATACAAGGAATGCAAAATACCAACTCAACACAGAGACTGAAAGGGGTAAGAACCATAGGGGCCCAAGGGACACACGGCCGTAATCATCAGTACAACAAGAGAGACTGCCATCTGCTATTGCTGTAAAGTCGTCAGCTAACCCTCCTTCTAGACTGGGCTGGGAAATAAACTGGTGAAGTTGAGTACCTAGTTTTAGTCACAGCATTTCTTGAAAAGAAGCTCTAGTGTACTCAGTATTTTTTTCAGTGAAAATAGCATCCAAATAAGAAATAAATCTTCATCTTAAATGACAGTAGACATTCTTAAGTTCTATAGTGTACTAGAATATCCAGTATTGCTTGATTTGTCAAAGGGACATTTTCGATAGACATTATGCATATGCACAGGAATACCTATGTGTACACAAATGCACAAATGTGTGCATATACATACACATATGAATACAAAACAAAAAAAATCACTTATACTCTGTTAAGAATGGTAGATATGTTTGGAAAATATGAATACACTGTAGAGGACAGGGTTATTGATAAAATATATGGTTATAAAACAAAAGTAAATAGGAATCATATGAATCCAAAATACATCACTTTGATTTTAACCTACCTAGTATAACTTTATTATTACATACAAGATTCATACCTTGTGTCGTGAGTACTATGGATTTTTTTTTTTTCATATGACAATAACTAAAAGCACAAACCTGTATATACACAACATGCATCATCTTTGGTTATTGGTATACATCATAGAGAGATGTAATTTGTTCTAAACACGTATAATTCTGCTGCTAGCAGGGTGTGTCCTAAAGACATAGACTAAAGAAATAGTAAAGATTAAAAAAAAAAAAAAAAAAAGATTATTATTTTGTTACTGCTGTCAGAAACATAAGTGATCCATCTACCAGATAAATACAATTAAAACAACGGCAACAAAAGTCACTGAGCAAAAAGTTCCAGGAATGTTTGTGGAAGTTTTAAATGCTACCAGTCACTTCAGTTTCTCTTCTCTTTTGAATTTCTCCAAAATTAAATGATTTTTTATTATTTGAAAGAACAACTGCTCTCCTTTAACCTTTCCATAGAACCTTTTTGTCATAATAACATTCCAGCCCAAACAGCTCCCGTGGGATGAAATCAATCAAAGCCATAAAAGAGGAATGTTTTTGTCATGCCAGGTCCTACTGCTCATGGCTTACAGTTACAGAACTGACAGCAGCAGAACTGGATTGCACAGAACATCTGAAGACATCTGGCCAGTTACTCTTAAGTTATTCCTACCAAAATCAACATACTTTTCAATTTGGATATTGCACAATTAAAACAAAACATGAAGGGAAAAAAAAAAAAAAAAAAAAAAAAAAAAAAAAAAAAAAGCTATGTTAGCATTGTGATTGTGGTGTGACAGCAGGATAAAAACACAAAACCAATTTAAAAGCCCTTAAGTCCAGGCAGCCTTTCCCACACTGACTTAAGCTCAGAGTCTCCTTCCTCAAACCTCCAAAATACTTGGCTGACAGCACCCTTGGGTAAGGGTCTGGGGAACAGGGAACTCATATCCCTGGGCAAATAACGTGCTGCCAGCCTGCTTCCTCCCCCCCTCCATCCCCCCACCCCACACTGTTCACTGATGGGTGCCTGAGTGGGAAGCAGCCACACTACAGACTTTGGCGGCTGGGGGGAGGTTTGTGAATTCCCCATCGGTTGTTCCTTGGGGTTTTCATGGCCCTGGAAAAAAAAAATCCACTTTTCATTAAAAGAGTCGTTTGAGGATGTTGTTGAAACTGATACTGCAGAAAGAGATGTTCCTGCGTGCTGCCTTCCTGCACTGTAATGGCTCTTGCATTAGGGACGGGAGGCGGGGGAGCTGCTGTTGTCCATTTACTTTGGTAAAGATTGCTATTGAATGAAACCTTTTTAATGGGGTGCTTATGATCCCACTCCGCTAAGAGCTCAGGGCCTGTGGCAGAGTAGTCTTTCTCTCCACCTTGACAGCTATTAAGGGATCAATACAGGTAATCCCTCAGCTGGCGGTCAGCCCCGGCCAGCTGGGGGGCTGCCCTGGCCACCACGGTGGCCGCTTTGAGAGCCTGCGGGTCACTTGTGGGAAAGTGAAACCTCCCTGGGGAGTGTATGAACCCCAGCAGCCTGCCACCACATCCTCATCCCTACCACCACACCACACCAGTGCTCTCCAAACCACAGCCACTGCTTGCTGCAGCACTGGGCGGGGCTCCAATGACTTCACTCAGACTAAGCCAAAGGATGAGTCTGAAACTTCCTGTCTAGGGAGCAGGGTCTCCACAGCATGATTTCACCCGCTACTTGCAACTGAAATTCTATCAAGGATCAAGGCGTCTCCTACAGGCTCTGCTCAAGTTCCTGAAGCCAAAGGAGGAAAAATTAGATCATCTCACTGCAACTTTATAAGTTACTAGTACCACAGTTGGTATGACCATGTGGTATTTTCATGCTAAGGCACACAGCAGTGATCTTCACCAAATTGCTTGGCTAGCCAGAGGTTAGCCCTATGAACTGAAGCTGGGTTTTGCACTGCTGATATGCAGCCAGGCTGGGCTTCCAGGCAGCCACTACAGCACAAGCTGCCTGGTGCAGTGAGTGGCTGGGACTGAGGCTGTAGGACAGGCAGAAGTGCCCTGGTACTCTCCTACAGTGCTGTCCAGTACTTCTAGGTGCCAACACATTGAATAGATTGGCTTTTCAGAAAAGGCATGAACTTACAGAGGTCTGTCCTTTCTAAAGCTTTAGTCAAACACCCTGAAAACACAGACATAAGTATTTCACATGGGGTTAAAAAAGAAGGAAAGCAGAGAGCAAAGCCTGACACCCTACAGAATGTGCATTTAGAGACACTGTAAAGGGATACATGTATGTAGGTATGGGGAGAGAAGAAAAAAAGTGACAGTGATTGTGTCCATAAGTGTAAACCAGATCCCAGCACACCCTGTGGTGGCACATGTGAGGCTGGGGACCCTAGAATCATGGAATGGCTTGGGTTGGAAGGGACCCTAAAGACTACCCAGTTCCAAACCCCTGCCATGGGCAGGGACACCTCCCACCAGACCAGGTTGCCCAAAGCCCCATCCAGCCTGGCCTTGAACACCTCCAGGGATGGGACATCCACAGCTTCTCTGGGCAACCTGTGCCAGTGCCTCACCACCCTCTGAGTGAAGATTTTCTTCCTTATATCTATTCTAAGTCTTCCCTCTTTGAGTTTAAAACCATTCCCCCTTGTTCTATCTCCACACCCCGTGACACAGAATCCCCCCACAGCTTTCGTGTAGGCCCCTTTTAGGCACTGTAGACACTTCTTTAGGTACCCCAAGACACCTCTTCCTGGAGGATAGAGCTGCCAGTCAGAGCTTCCCTAGTGAATGATCTCCCTCGTTTAATAGACTAACTGCTATTTGCTTGTGCCATTCTTGTCAATGCACTGAGCTGCTGGCTGCTCCTCACATGCCCTGGGTGGGTAACCACCTCCCTCTTCCCAGCTCCCTTGGAGAGGCAGCAGGAGAGGGGCAGGGGGATGGGGCTGAGGTGTTTGAACACTGGGGAGGTGCTGGGGGCAGCAGATGTCACTGGACAGGCCTTTGTTCCTTTGCACTTGCCAGCCTGAGCTGTGGGACCACCTTTTTGTTTTGGTCCCACCATTGTCATTCACCGGGCGGCTTTTCAGGAGTTATCCTCACACACGCTCATCTCTCTCCCACCAGCCCAACAAAATAGGCGAGATTGCCCTCATCCCCTGGTTTCTATTTAGAACACTTTCTGTTTAACATTTAAAAGACCCCGAAAGTTAATGCAAAGCACTTAGAACCAGCTTGTGTCTGATTCACCCCAATGACTCACTTGCTGCTCCCCTTGGTGAGACCATTTTTAATCATAGCCAAGAGAAAGAGGAGGCAGGGTGCAGTATCAGACACAGCTCCTGCTCTCCTTTGCCTTGGCTCAGGGTGTGCTCCCTTCTTCAAACCAACCCTGTGCAAGCAGCTGTGTGCTGCATCCATCCTGGGCAGCTGCCAGGCAAAAAGCACGCTGTGCACAGGCATACACACATCCCCTCCTTCCTGCCTCCTCTTTCTTGTGCAAGGGTATAAATATCTGAAATCCTGCCTGAGCCAGCCAAGGCTGTTCATTCACCAGGCTGCTGGCAGCGTTACTACCGAAGGTGCAATTAAATGTTTCTATCGCTGAAATCCCTGGGGAGGAAAACACCAGCTCATGGGATGCCAACTGGATGCATGTACAGAGGCATCCCCTAATCTAAATCTGATCTCTTAAAACCCTGTCTGGCAAGAACATAAGTGTGTTTGCACTGACAGTCACTGCATTTTCCTTGCAGAATACACCTTCGATCCCCCTGTTTGATGTTTCCCCACAGGGCTGTGAAGAGTGCTGAACAAGTGCACCCCTGCTATCCCCAGCCCCGTGCCACATGAGGGGAGCAGCAGACACAGCTGGGGCTCTCTATTCAGACCAGGATGATGTGGGGCAGTTAAATGCTTTTTTTTTTTTTTTTTTTTTTTGGTGCTCCATCTAGATTCGTCATGTCACTTCCAAGTGGGAGTGAACTCGGTCCAAAAGTGAATGGCCTCAGTGCTTATCAGCTATGAGGGCACTTATGGCCTGATCCATCAAGCCACTGGCTGTGTTTGGCTCCTTAAGCAGTCAGCTGCTACCCAGCAGGGAGGACTGTTAATTCCCAGTGAGAGGCAGTTTGATGCAGTAATGACTTACAAATAACATGGGAAACACCCTTTATCTATTTGTTAGTACCTCAAATATACAACTCTAATGCACTAAGCAGAAAACAGTTTGCACCCCATTCATGTATACCATAGCCTCAAATGATTCCATGATTCTGTGAAATAATTTATTTTCATCCTTTCTGTGAATCTCAACGTAATGGCCTCAATAATTAGAATAAAACATTTACACATACAAGTTTAATGTGCAAGACAACCAGTACCTTCAGCCACAAGTACAAGTGAAACCTTTCACATGCTCCTTTACAGACATCTCATAACACAATACTGTAGAAGAGTGCTAATATTTTAGGACGAGATATCTGGGGCTTCTTTATGCAGAAGAAAATGCACACAGCTAAACGCACTACAGAAGATGCACCACTTCGGTAAATAACCCTCATTCACAAGAAACAACAAAATTACCTATATGTGAAGCTAACTGCATGTCATGGCACATGGCATTCCTAACCCATTCCTAGTCATAACTTGCCTCATTACAAGCAAGCTGATGATTAAGCAGTCGATGATTTCACCAAATCCAGGATTATTTATGGGTCTGAACCAGCAACGGCTTCACACACAGAATTCACTTTTCTGTTGGCTGGGGTTCTGTATGCATGGGAAAAAACACCTCCTTGTGGGCAGGCAGCTGTAATTAAGATTCAGGTCCCCCAGCTATACTTGCTGCTTATTCATATGTTGCCTAGTGCTGGGTCTTGATATTTCGCTTACAAGTAAGTGGTTCTCTGTATTTTTTTTTTCATATTTACACCATGAAAATAATGAGGACAAAGAAACTTGACAAAAAAACTTTACAATAAACCATGTAAAAATTAGTGCAAATCAATATATATATATCTATAGATACAGTATCTGCAAGATATAATTAAATGTGCAAGTAACATTTTTCCAGTTCTATACTGTATTTAAGGAGATATTAAAGTAGTTAGGCACAAAATACATTTTTATCTTCTGTACTTATGCTCCATGGCCTCGTTAATCCTAGCTGATTTAGGATATTAAAAGAGAACTTTATCATCCCAATGATATCAAACCATCTGCATTAATGAATCAGCTCCAGCAAGGGCTTCTATTACTCCTCCTGGATGCAACAAAACACTCCCACTCACAAAGGAGCCCCTCACAGATGCAGACCCCTGCCCATCACACTAGTCATGCAATGACAGACAGAGGCCCCTGAACCAGTCCTGACACTCCCTATGCATGCTGGTCCATCAGCACAGACCTTCATATGAGCTTTCACATTGCCAGGGAAAGACACGTGGTTAAAGATTCTTAAAGATTAAGGAAACATTTCACCAAAATTGGAGTCTAATCACCTAAGATTTTACACTGAAATTATTTCTTTTATCTATTGTAATATATACCAAGATTGCTTCATCTGGGTCAGTTTGTTGGTATGAAAGGACAGGATGCCTAACTTGGAATAACAATTCCAAGTCTCCAAGTCAGTGTAAAAGAAAACCAGTTTTAGGCTGGTTAAAGGTTCAGGCTAAATATTTATCCATAGCTAAATGAGTAGTTTTTAAATAGAAAGCAAATGCCATTTTCATAAGCAAAGACTTCCCTTTTATGAAAAAGAAATCAATAGAAAGCCCACACAAATCACTTCTAACCTGCTTGCATATTGCCTTGTCAGAGAGAAAAAGGAGGGTGAAGCCTTTCAGCCTTCTCACAAAGGAGAAGACAATCCCATGGTCTGGAGAAGGAATTTCACATGCAGAGAGCTTTTGGAGTTTAGAAGTCCTGGGACTGTCCATCAGACATATTGTGCCTTAAATTTAAGATGAGGGGAAAGTTTTCCTAGTTCCCAAGTGGAGGTACCACAGAGTTGGTTTAAAAACCTTTGTGCCTTGAGACTTGGACAGAAGAGCCCATGGATGGGATCATGTTTACACCTGGCCTGTGCTGAACCCAGCACAAAGTCTCTCTGAGACTGCTGGAATGCTACTGACCCACTTAGGAGCTCACTGGTGCTTGGGAAAGCTTCAGGTTTGGTCTTCCCCATATTGCTGCTGCAGTCAGGACAGGCTGAGGAAGAGTTGGTGTTACTGTCCTGGAGTGGTATCACTACCCCCAGAGCAATGTCACTGTCCTAGAGTTCCCTGTCGTCAGCTCACCTGGCCCTGTGGCCAAACAGATCTAAATATCCCTGCGCTGCTCCCACCACATTTGCATTTAATTAGGGAGTCATTAAGGACCTTCTACAATATGGGGAAATAGGCCCTACACCTGTTTATGTGCTGAAACAAAACAAATTGGCTAAATTGGCTTTGGTAAACACGCTTGCTAAAAAAATCCCCTAAACAAGCTTTGGCATGGACAGCAGCAGGCAGTCCATAGATTGGTGCTTTTGAGGTATGGTAACATCCATCACAGTGATATTCACACACGAAAGGCTTGTGGGGGGTGACATTCACTCCTGGCTGTGAAAATGAGAGCGCAGGAAGAGAGGAAGGGGAGAAAGGGTTAGTGCATGTCGGAGTTCACCCTGGCTGAAATAAGCCAGTGCCCTCTGTTTAGAAAGGAGCTTGGGACCCACACTGCGAGGGTAAATGTCAGTCACCTCCTGCGGTGTGCACACACCCAACACACATGCACATACACAAATACACACACGAAGCTGGTCCAGGACCCGTCCACCTTTGACTAATGAGCAGCATGACTCTTCATGTGGAAGTGGTAATCCTCCTGCTCGGGGAAGTGCTGGCCGCACAGCGAGCAAGTACAGCCCTTGTCCCTGCTGTGCGTGCGCCGCATGTGGCTGTCGTGGGCAGCGTGCGAGGCGAAGGCTTTGCCGCAGTGCTTGCACTTGAAGGGCTTCTCTCCAGAGTGCTGGCGGATGTGCGTGCGCAGGATGCTGGAGGCTGTGAATGCCTGAAACACAGTAGGGTGGGGTAGGAAAGCAGGAGAAGTTTAGAGGGCTCTATTTTCTCATACCTACTTCACATTTTCAAGTAACCCAGAGCCCGTCAGAAGCACTGCAAAGCCTGAAAAGAAGTCCTCAGATAGCTGACATCATAAGAAAAAGGAAAAGGAAAAGGAAAAGGAAAAGGAAAAGGAAAAGGAAAAGGAAAAAGGAAAAGGAAAAAGAAAAGAAAAGGAAAAGAAAAAGGAAAAGAAAGAAAAGGAAAAAGGAAAAGAAAAGGAAAAGAAAAAGAAGAAAAAGAAAAAAAGAAAAAAGAAAAGAAAAAGAAAAAGAAAAGAAAAGAAAAAAAAGAAAAAGAAAAGAAAAAGAAAAAGAAAAGAAAAAGAAAAAGAAAAAGAAAAAGAAAAAGAAAAAGAAAAAGAAAAAGAAAAAGAAAAAAAAAAAGAAAAAGAAGCTCCCAGCAGCAAGGAACAAGTAACAGCTATCACATCCAGCTATACAGATATGGTTGAGTCCATGGAGTTAGATGAAGTTCAGAGAAAGATTTCTCACCACAGACACCAGTAAATATCTTCTATGTGTTGAAGGATGAGAAGTCAAGTCAATACTGTCCTAATTAGCTTTGCAGTTCCTTTGTGCAGGGAAAAGATAATGCATTTTTCCCTTTAGTGTTTATTTTCAAAGTTAAACCCTTTCATGTTCACATATACTGACTTAGAATTCAGCTGCCAGAATTCACATGTGATCCAGAATCCATTTTCTTGTGCTTTCATCTCCAGCCCATTTTTTCCCTCTCATTTGACTTTATTCCCCTCAAAAATTTCTGCATTTGGGGAGAAAATCCAATCCCTAAGACTTTAGCAGATATATGTTGCAAAATAATCAAAATAATCCTTTTTTTCTTTTTTTTTTTTTTCTCCCCCCCCCAGTAGAGGCATTTTCAAGCCCTTTACTCTTTGCAGACCACCCAAAATCACTGGCTGTTACTCCTGCTACTACCAGCAACATGAGAAAAAAATACTACGCTGTAAGCTGAAATGCTGTGCACTGGTGTTGTAGGCAGGTAGGTAAAGCTGTCACCCATAGAGCCTCTTTAGTAGTGCCATTATGTGGTTGAACCATCACAAATTTTCACAATAAAGAGCAACACATCTCAGGTACCACATGTTCCAGAGGGATCTGGTCACACAGCGACCTGTAAAACTCTCCCATCTGTTCCTGTGATCAGATCATTAAAGGATGATACTTCATCCTAAACTTTGCCTAGGACAGTTCAGGATGTCTAGGATTTTTTTTTTTAATCAATTAAAAAAAAAAGAAAAGAAAGAAAAGAAACTTCTAAGGCTCCTTACTATAAGACACTTCAGCTATGTGTTAGTGTTGCCATAAACAAGCCATTTCTCTCTACAAAATCAGTAGCACCTTGCTACACACTTAGAGTGCTTCTGCATAGCATCAACACCAGGGCAGCACATAGCACCCAGAGCCATCCCATCAACCATCCAAAATCAGTATGCATGTCTACTGTCTGCTCAGGAATGTCTACTGTCTGCTCAGGATCACCTGAATCATCCCTGGTGTGAGCAGAAGCAGCTCAGCAAATTTTTAATCAAACCCATATGGCTTTGCTCACTTTCTTTTTGAAATGAAGCCTCTGTACCCTGCTGCAGTACTGTTTCCATAAATTGCCCTGTTACTTCAAGGAAAGCATGCACAAAGTCATATTGTGAAGATCCAGCTCTTGAGCCAAACCTGCCATCCACACTGCAGAAGCAATGCCAGTAAGATCAAAAACTAACTGGTGAAAAAGGGTAACAGTTTACCAGCTGAGTGCCTAGGATGGAAACTGAAATTCTCTTAAGCATTCCTAGACTTTAACCTTGCAGCAGCTCTCCAAGCTGGGAATTAACAAATTCTGCATCAGATGGAAAAGCAGAAGCACAGAGACCTGATCCTGTTTCTTCAGTCCCAGCCATTTGCATGAATTAAAAACATTTTTATATAAAGAACATGATTCCAGAATTGGGACTTTCATAGAATCATTTTAGTTGGAAAAGACCTGTAAGAGGATCAAGTCCATCCATCAATCTAGCACTACCAAGTCCACTGCTAAATCATGTCCCGTAGTGCCATGCCTGCAAGCCTCTTAAAATACCTCCAGGAGTGGTGACCACCAGTTCCCTGGGCAGCCTGTCCCAATGCCTAACCACTCATTCCATTAAGAAATTCTTCCTGATGTCCAATCAAGCCTCCCGTGGTGCACCTGGAGACCATTTCCATCTGACACAACCCTCTCACTTCATCCCTTCCTCTCACCACAACTCACAACCGCCTAAATATGCACCCCCTCATGTGAATATCAACCGAAAGAGAAGGCATTTCCTGACTTCTTAGATAGAAAAAGATGATGAAGCATGACGAGAGACACCACCCGGTGTGCTGCTGGGTGCAGCAGAGGACAGGCAGAGGGACAGGATGGGACCCAGGGTGAACTGGGGAGTTGCCTGACCTTGTTGCAGTAGACGCATTTGTAGGGGCGCTCCCCGGAGTGAACCCTCATGTGCTTGTTCAGGCTGGAGGACTGAGAGAAGCTCTTCCCGCACACTGAGCACTGAAAAAGAAATGAGAAAATTAAAAGGAAGCACACAACAGCACAGCTGTAAGGAACTGTTAGCTATGGGGGATATGTCTGTATATTTTGCTACGTATATTTACATACAAGCTTATCAGTAATTTAAGGATCAAATCTGAAATGTAGTCAGAATTAACGTATTTTTAAGAAGGATTCTTTTAAAGAGGGGAAATCATGCAAAATTTCAAAGCTTTTCTTCTGTATGTCATTAAAAGTGCTCCATCAAAAATCGTCCTTACTTCAGAACATTAACATACTACACATCAGTAATTAAAACCCAAAATGTCTGTAATGTTCCCATTTATCTTAAAAATGTAATTAAATCTTCAGTTGTGCTTTTTTTTTTTTTTAAGCTCAACAAATAAGATAGACAAACTACTTCCCAGCAGATGCTTTAAGGGGGCTCCTTAGAATAATTGTTGAGGAATGGCAGGTCAGTGGCAGCACTTAGCCTCCAGCCTGATCTTTCAGAAGTGCCTCTCCTTAGAGCAGTAAAACAAACAGCACTTCTGATGGGACGAGCTGCTGCTGCCTCTGTCGGGTACTGCCAGGAGCAGAATAAAGCCCAATTCTGAGGACGCTGAAGCCAACTGAGAAACTTACATGGACTCTTGAATTTGAATGAAACCATTGAAAGCAGCTGAATTTGTATGAAACCATAAATAGTTTCCTCTTAAAATTGTTTTGAAAGACATAATCATTCTTAAGGTGAAAACAAACTATGATGGCCAGTCTTAAAGGAATTTTTTAACTGACAGTTTCAATCCATGCTTTTTAAGTTGCTCTGTTCCCATTTAAATGCAACATCTATTCAGAACAAGTTTATCTTCCTGCTGTTCTAAAATAGTTCTTTCCTGTGGGAAGGGAAAGGAAAAAATATATGGTATTTCAAATATCACATTTTTTATAATCATTATACCTAAAATTAAATAGAAACATATTTTAAACCTGCTACTAAATCAATACCATATTCTGACATTGCTAGTTTATTATTTAATATTGCTAGTTTAATTGTAAAAACTTTTCCTGAAAAATCCACTTTATTCCAAGATGTTCTATAAAATAGGTATTTGGAAGATTTTCAAGACTAATTTAACTGTGTCATTTCAAGCACTGTGACTTGCCCTTCCCAAGCCTCTAGGAAAGCCTAGTTTTCCCTTCCCAGTGCTCCTGGAGGAAACCAGTGCTACAGAGAGTTGTATGGAGGGGCTGAGTCAAGTATCTCAGTATGGACTTGCTTCTGTCAATTGAAAATCTGTTCCATGGTGAGCGCGAAACTTTTAACTCCTGCTGTGTCCAACAGCCTCTGTCCTTCATAGGAAGAACTGCCAAGAGTGGGGGAAAAGCAGCATCTTACCTCGGCCAAAAAAGCTCCTTAATTATTCACCCCAGCAGAGCTGGGAGCTGCAGACAGCCGGGAGCAGGCTCACCTTGTGAGGTCTGTGCTTCTCGTGAACGTGGAGAATATGGATCCTCAGCCTGTCCCTTTTTTCAAAGGATCGGCTACAAAGGTGGCAAGGAAATTTCCTGTCCCCCTGGTCCACACAGCGGGTGTACTTGAGGTGCTTGTCCCGGTAGTACTTGTAGGCGAAGACCTTCCCGCACCGCTCGCACTTGAAGCTCTCCCCGGCGTCTGAAGGGAGAGTGCCAGCGCCTCGTTACACCGCAGCAAAGGGGATGAATTTCTAATCTGCTGCCTTTTCAGAGCTGGTGCCCGACTGACAACAGAAAGCGCCCAGAAGGGTAATACTGCCAGAACGCTTTTAACATTATAATTAACAAAATGCAAGTTGCATCTCAAGCAAACTCAACGCTACCCTTGCCCATCTATTTCCTTTCTAACGGAAGGGAGCAAACAAGAGCCCCGAGCCCTGTGAAATGATTTTGTTTACCTACTGACTTCAGCAAAGACACGACTTCATCTTTGTTTCCCTAAGCAGAAAGAAGATTATACGGAAAAGCAATGCAGATTCCTGCACGTAAACAGCTGCCTCCGCGGGGAAACATTGCCAGGTGCTTAGCGATACTGTCCACCGTCCCATTGCGCTTCCCATCCCCAAAAGAATAATAAATCTGCCCACCTCCTCTGTCGGTTTCAAAATGCTATCAAACAGAACCGTGTTTATTTGGTTTTCTTTTGTATTTTGAATTGTTCTTAATCGCTGAATTTAGAAACAATGCAGGAAAAATTTCAATCGTTTAACGCATCATTTTCTGCTTTTAATTAAAGGTAGCAAAGTAACTTAAACCTTAAAAAAAGCAAACAAAAACAAACCAAAAAACAGGGATCTACCAGCTATCAGGACCAGGAACCTTTAGAAAACAGCTATAGAAATGTCCATGCCCTTTTCCATGCCAATGTGCCAAATGTCTCTCCCTTTCTCTGCTGCACCCACCATCCTCCCACCCGCTCCAGCTTTGCTGCATTTGCACAAATCTTTTTTCAAACCCAAATTTTGCTTAGAAGAGCGTCACACTTTCTGCACATTGCAAGGACATTTCTCCCCGAGTAAGTACATTTGGTATTTCTTTTACAAGCAATAGCAGCATTATCGGATCGGAACGACTTCACCCCGCCATTTACCAGGAGTGTTAATCGCGTGGAAATGTCATCAAGTTAAGAGTGCACAATCGTAGGATTAAAACAGGACCCAAACAGGAGTAGCCGAAAGACACCCTGTCCTCCAAAAATACTGTCCCCCTCAAAAGCAGGGCTGCTGGGGCACCAAGGGAAGCTCAGTCCCTTGCTCTTTGCCGCTCCCCAAAAAGCACCAGATGTTTTACAATCGCCACATACACACTTTTTGATCCCAGGGGAAACAAACCGTGAGCAAGCTGCCAGGGCAGAAAGGGATGCCTGCCTGCCTTTTGCTCCGAGCGGGCAGAAGCAGTGGGTGTAAAGCCCCAGGCTCGCTGGTGCTGGGGAAGCTGCTGTTTTGGGATGCTGGAGGCTGCGAGGGACCAGCACTGCCGCCCCACAGCATCCCCGGGTCGGGGGCTTGCCCCACCAGCACGGTGTTCAGAGCAAGAGGCAGGTGAAAAACAAAACAAAACAAAACAAAAACAACAACAACAACAAAGGAGATGTCAGAGGTCCTTTACCTCCCCTAACAGGGGTCCGATGGTGGCCAGACACGGTTCATCGGAATAAAGGGCTGTGCCCCTTGAGGGGCTGCTCCCGGCTCACCTTCGGGGTGCGGCGGGGGTCTCATCCCCTCCGGCATGCCCTTCAGGCTGATGGGGATGCCCAGGAACTGCACGTAGCAGTCTCCGTACCACACCAGGAGCTCCTCCTTGGGAGAGATTTCCTTGCAGCTCTCGTAGAAGATCTGCCCCTGGCACTGGATCGCCGTCAAGTTCTGCTCCTCGGGGAACCTGGCGCAGTTCACCAGGGACATCCAGTTGCCAGAGGCGCCCTTGCCGTCTATGAAGTGGCTCAGCTGCCCGTACTCGAAGATCTGCAGGGCAGAGAAGAAGCGGATCAGCTGCCAAGGGGCGTCCCGCTTGCTCCGACCCCGCCACCCAGCCAGGGCCGAGGCTCTGGGCGGAGGGGGAGCCCCCCCAACCCTCCCCGGCTCTACCTCCCACATCAGCGAGTTGTCGTCGTAGGTCTTGATCTCGGTGGTGTTGACCACTTTGCCTTGGAAAGGGCCGAAGCGAACTCCTTTGGGGATGGGGTCCGTGCAGAAGACTCCGAGGTGGGCGAGGTCCCCGTAGGCCACCCTCAGCACCGCCAACCCTGCGGGGGGGGGACGGGACGGGACAGGCTGGGCTGAGAGGGGCTGAGCCGCGGCTCAGCGAGGGGCTCGGGGGGGGGGGGGGGCTTCCCCTACCTTCGGGCAGCTGCAGCGAGTCCCTGTCGGGCGGCGGCGGGGCCGACGAGGAGTGGGCAGCACCTGCGGAGAGCAGAGGGACCCCTTCTTCTTCAGCGGCTGCCCCCCGACCCCCGTCCCTTCCCCACCGAGGGGACGGGCGGTCCCCGCCGCCCAGGGGGGCCACCCTTACCCGGGCTGCCGGGGGGCACCCTGAGCCCCGAGATGGCGTGCAGGCTGCCGGCCAGCTGGCTGCTGCGGAGCGCCCCGTACAGCACGGCGTTCAGCTCCTCCTCGGTGAAGCAGTAGCTGCGGCTCTGCCCCGCCGCCTCGCCGCCCCCCGGCGGCCGGGCTGCCCGCCGAGGGGTGCCCGGCCCCGAGGGGGACCCCTCCGAAGGGACAGAGGGGACAGAAGGGGGCGGAGGTTTGGCGTAGGGGGGTAGGGAAAGGCCGGGGATGGGCTCGCAGGGCAGCGCGGCCGGCTGGCTGAGGAACGCGGGGATGCTGAAGGGGGGTAAGGGCGGCGAGGAGGGGAGCAGCCTGCCCAGCGGCTTGAGGGGCTCCAAAAAGTCGGGGGTGGCCTCGAAGTACTGCGCGGGGGGCAGAAAAGGCGGGTAGTAGGTGGCCAGCCCGGCGGGGCTCATCCCCAGCGGGTCTCCGGCCGTCGTGGGGCCCGGCTCGCCGGCCAGGGACAGCGCCATGCCGGAGGGGCTGCGGCTGCCGGGGTGGGGTGGGTTCAGGGGGAGCCCCCTGGGTGCTGCGGGGCAGGGCCGGGAGCGGGATGGAGGCGAGGGAGCCGCCGCCCGGCGCCGTCGGGGCGAGGGGGCTGGCGGCCGCCGGCCCCCCGCGGCTATATGGGCTCGGGCAGGGGAGGGAGGGCGGGTGGGTGGGGGGCGGCCCGCCCCGGGGGTCGCGGAGCCCCGGGGGTGGGCGGGGGAGGCTGCCCCGACGGGCGCCCCCAAGCCGGGGAGGAGCCGCCGCTGCTACGGGCGGGGGCGCAAGGGGCGGAGGGGGGGACCCCCGGGCTGCCAGGCCCTCCTCTGCCCTCAGCCCCCCCGAGCTAGAGCCGTCGGACACGGTGGGGACGATGCTGACCTTGGTGCAGCCCAAAAAAGCCCCCTCGGTCCACTCCCTGCCCTGCAACCCCAGCGGCGTGGAGGAGTGGGGTTTGGTATGGGAGGTCAGGAAACACCTCCGAAAACGGGTCCCCTCCCTCCCCGGGAAGGTCCTCACCACGTCCAGCCTGGGGGATGCTGCGTGGGCAGGCGTGGGGTGTGCTGCAGAACCCGGGGGAAGCTTGCAGCCACGGGTCTGGCTCAGAGCAAAGCAGCACGTTTAAATGCCGTTTGAGTGGTTGCAGTGTGCAAAAATAAATAAATAAATTAATTAATTAATTAATAAAAACACCCCATAACTATGCATTCCCGTGTAAAACACTGCCTTCATCCCAAAGAAGGGGTAGATCAGGAATCACCTGAAGCAGCCACTGACACAGAGACCGTGGCAGTCACTGACTGTGCTAGCAGAAGGTGAAGCCATCCTCTAATTCCTAATTTCTTGTCTGGGTGAAATGTTCTGAAATAGAGTTTGAGAAAGAATAACCAACTGCCCAGGGGAATGAGGGCATCCAGAGAACAGGATCGTGGGCACTGTAGTTCCTACCTACCAAAAACAACGATTCCTACCTACCAAAACTGTTGGTTTTGAAGCGCCCCTTAATTTTTCCCTTAGCACATAAGCACTAAGCAAGCAAACACAACCACACAGCCCAGCTGAGGAGACCCAGCACTGCTCCATCCAGCTCCCAAGTCCCTTTCCGCAGTCAGCCCAGCCCAGCTTTGTCCCTGAACGTGAGCCTGAACACTGCTGTGCTTTGCATTAAATGCATGGGGCTAATTCTCCCACCTACAACCACATTCCCCATCCTAACTTTCCATTTTGCAAGACAAAAGTAACCAAATACACCAGGGGCAGCCAATACGCATGCTAGGCTTAGGGAGGAGGTAAGAATGCAGCCTCCTGAAGCTTACTTGAGATAGTCTCTCAGCCTGATTTTTTTGTTGTCCATCTTTTCTACTTTCTCTCTGTTGTTCCAGAGCTCTATTTGTAAGGCAGAACTGATGCTGTGTTGCTTTAGGATGTAGTTTTGGGCAGGCAATTTATCCTGTTTTTATTGATGCAGAAGCAGTGGTATAAAAGAAGTGCCATAGTTAATCACGTTTATAGGATGAAGCCTGCGAGCTCTGATGGCAGAGAAAAAGTTTGATTTCCCTTAGAAACAAAGTGCTGCCAGGTATTCTGGACTCCCCCGCCTCCCTTGTACCCAGATGTCCCAGCATGGGAAGAAAATGGGCTTGGATGGGATGAAGGGGGTTTGCTTGCATCAAAGATTCATAGAAATAAAGACAAACAAAATGTGAGAACTTTAAATTCTCATTATCTGTTTAACTTTTTTTTTTTTTTTTCCCCAATTTCTGCTCTTGTAGACCTGCCCAGAGAGAAATTAAAATATTTCTTTTTGTAGACACAGAGCATAGAAGGGAAGGGTTTGCACCAACGTTAGGGCTATTTTGCAGTTAATTGCTGGTGACTTCCATTCCCAAAGAGGGTAAATGCACTACCATGAGGCTGGGGCATACTGTGTCCTGCTGGCAACAGCTCCCATGGCTGCTGGCCCTTAGCACCTGGCTCAGAGACACCTCACGGGTGTTCCCCATGCCAGAGCCACCCACCCAGAGCCTGCAGCTCCCTCCAGCCTCCTTCATTCACCCACGCATGAGAGTCAACGGCAGTGACCTGCAACCCATGGGTGTCTGCGGTGTCTTTTTGGCTACTAAAGTGCTGCACAGGTTTTCATTTGGGACTGGTGTGGTCCAGAAAGTATTATCAGCAGGCTTTCTGCCTCCCTCCGCTTAAAGATGTGAGAGGTATTCCTTTTCCATGCTGATGCAGGGATGTGTAGTAAAGACAAGTACCAAGGGACAGCCCTGCAGGCTTGCCTGCACAGCACTCAGCATAAGTGGCCTAATACAGAAGTGATTTCCTGGGACTGATCAAGAATTCTTTATAAAAAATGGCATCCACTCTCATTCCCCTCTCTGCTCCCCAGACAAGGACACAAGCTCTTTTGCACAAGTCCAAGTGCAGGGTGCTGCACCTGGCTCAGGGTAATCCCAGACATGAGCACAGACTGGGAGAAGAAATCATTGAGAGCAGCCCTGCAGAGAAGGACTTGGGGGTTCTGGTGCACAAAAGGCTTAATGTGAGCCAGCAGTGTGTGTTTGCAGCCCAGAAGGCCAACTGCGTCCTGGGCTGCATCAACAGAGGGGTGGCCAGCAGGGTGAGGGAGGTGATTGTCCCCCTCTGCTCTGCTCTTGTGAGGCCCCATCTGGAGTGCTTCATTCAGGTCTGGGGCCCCCAGCACAGAAAGGATGTGGGGCTGTTAGAGTGGGTCCAGAGGAGGACTATAAAGATGATCAGAAGGCTGTAACACCTCTCTTGTGAAGAAAGGCTGAGAGAGCTGGGTATGTTCAGCCTGGAGAAGAGAAGGCTCTGGGGAGAATTCATTATGGCCTTTCAATACTTAAAGAGAGGGACTCTATTCAGGTAGATAATGATAGGACAAGGGGGAATGGTTTTAAGCTACAAGAAAATAGATTTAGATTAGACATTAGGAAGAAATTATTCACTCAGAGAGTGGTGAGGCACTGGCACAAGTTACCCAGAGAAGCTGTGGATGCCCCATCCCTGGAGGTGTTCAAAGCCAGGCTAGATGGGGCTTTGGGCAGCCTCGTCTGGTGGGAGGTTTCCCTGCCCATGGCAAAGGGGTTGAAATAATTAGATGATATTTAAGGTCCCTTCTAACCCAAGCCATTCTGTGATTCTATGATTCCACTGCTCTTACTCCCACTCTACTTCTGTTTTACTCCAGACCTGAGGTGCTGTGCCTCCCACACAGGTTACACTTGCAAGCAGACCCCCAACCTTCCAAATGCCAAAGCATCCCAGAAGCCACCCACCTGCAGTTCTGCAGCAGCCCCTAGTGCCCAGCTTGGTACCAGTGGGCTCCCTGTGCCCCAGTGCTTACAGCAACAACCACTGCAGCGTGAAAGTGGCTTGGTGCCATATCACCTATTTCTTATCTCACCTACTCTCCTGCTTCACTGGGCTACGTGCCAGAAAGAACACCTTGTGTCACCTGTGATTTAGACCACTAGCTATGCTAGCTATGGCTTCCTGCAGGTGGAAAAGGCTGCTCATTTCTTCTCCTGGAGGCAAAGAGGCAAGAGAGGGATACTGCAGGGATGTGTTTATCATGATGCCTTCTGATGTGGAATAACAGGAACTGCAATTTAGATCAGGTCAGAGCAGCAGTAGCGTATCACTATAGTTGCAGGAGAGGACACAGAGCAGCAAAGTGACAGCCTCTGCTGATGTGAACTGCAAAGTGCATGCAGGGTTTGTATACACTTGGTGATGCTACACCAAAGACAGCTAGCAGGGTGTGAGTTGTGGGTACCTGCTACATGCATGTGGCCAGGCAGCCACTTGAGGCCAGTCTGAATTCTGCTTTCTGCAGCACAAGAACTAATTCACCTTTGGGGTTTCACCATGGCTGTTGCTTCAGGAGACCGGGTGAGGCTGCAGACAAGATGCCCTGGACAGATCAAGACTTTGGACAGTGTTTCTTGACTTCCACATTTGAGACCTTCTGCCTCACCATTAATTTTTAATTCAAGGATGTGGCAGAAGGACCCTAGCTGCCTGACTGAACACAGATCACAGCTATTCCTTCATCCACTCTTGCCCCTTGTGTTTTTACTTGATGATGATTTTGACATGTTTTAGTAATTCTTTACTGGCTTCAGTAACTGAGCAGTAATTAATTTATCATAGCAAGCCTCCTGATCTCTTCACTGTGTCCCTTCTCTAACTCCAAATCTAAGGGCATTTGCTTTACTTCACTGACAGTTATTCTTTCAATTCCAGTTTCTAATTTCTTAAAGCTTAGTTTTAAACAGCACAAAAGCAATTTTACTATTACATAGACAACTACCTTAATTATTAAGAAAATAATAACCCTTTTTACTATTGGCTTAAAATATTTCTAAACCACCCTCCAATGTTTGGTAACCAACCCCACCAATTAATTTTTTTATTTTTTTTTCCCTCCAGCTGCCTTATGTAAACTGTGTAGTTGGTTTTATATTTGATTTACATCTTTCTCTGTCCATGTAGCTGCATTACAGCTCAATTCCCTATAAATTGAGAGCCACAAATTGGTGGAACACAAATCCTAAATTAAAGTGCTTTAACTTTCCATCTCCAGTATAAGCTGCATCTTCAGATATAGCAGCATTTTACTGATGCAGTCTCTAGCTTGGTGACTTCTCTAAAGCCCTTGCCCTCATCCCACTCCAAAATAATGCTAAGAACAGACAAACATCTGAAAAATACACACAGAAGAAAAATTTAGAGCCAGTCAATTCTGATGTATACTTTCAATCATCCCTCTGTTGCGTTTACAGGCCACTGAATGGCCAGATGATGAAAGCAGGTATATCTGTTACTCTTTTTGCTGTGCTCCCCAAGCCACTTTTTTCCTGTAATTTGCAGGGAGCTAAGTAAATTACTTCAGCCAGGTTCACTGCAGGTGCTCCCTGCCTCCTGGGTAATTATATGCAGTGATGAAGTAGACTTTAGCCTGAAACTAAGGGAGAAGTTTTTTGAGCAATGGTAGAGTGTCCCTGCTTCTTCTTTACTGCCTTCTCAGGATATTGCCCGTGGAGAAATCCACAGACCCTGAGTAACCAACCCTACTCTCAGTTAGGGGCTCTCTCTATTCCAGTT